TTCTTTTCTTTTCTTTTCTTTTCTTTTCTTTTCTTTTCTTTTCTTTTGTGGAAGACTTATAAGATGTTGAAATCTGTTTATGCTTAATCCCAAAAAAAGCGATTTAAATTTTCTTCCGAGTTCTTCACATTGCGTGTGGTTGTTGTTGTTGCAGAAGCAGTGCTCAACCCCCAGGGTTTCGTCATGAGTCATCAGCAAGCAGGCGGCGTCGCTGGGCGCAGTCTAGAGTGCTTCTGGAATCAGGATAGTAAGATTCATCGGCGTAGCCAGAATGAAATTTAGGGGGGGGGGGGCCTCGACCCTATTAAGCTGGCATTTCAGGGTACTATTTTATATATATATAAGGAAAACTTTGAAAGCTATGGGGGGGGCTCAAGCAACCCCCTGCTCCTACCTGGCTACGCCCATGGTAGGGTTAAAGGTGTATGCCAGGTTTTACCAGACAGTTAGGTAACTTACGGAAGGTTTCAAGACCAGGGCGTACTCCTGTAAGAAAAACAATGGCGACCTAGTTACCGATGTTCAAAACGTACTTAAATTATGGAGGGAACACTTTTCCACCCTGCTGAATTGTAGCACGGAAACTTGTGGAGAAGTCGATGATGACGGAGTCGATGCTCCACCGCCTAACGATGACGATGAACGCATGTCATTCCCGCCTCATAAGTATAGGTTACAAGGTCTAATTGAGCCCCTACCTGGCTAAGCCCATGGCCCACTGTCAATGAACTGATTAGGCCTTATCAGTGTGGCTTTAGACCCGCGACTTTAAAGCCGCTTTCGACCTTTTTCAAGTTGGATAAGGCAAAACCACACTGTGTAAGTCTTGGAATATTCGAGAGAAAGATTTGCGTAAGATTTACGGGCCTGTACGCGTTGGCGACGGCGAGTACGGCTGACAATGGAATGATGAGCTCTATGAGCTTTAAAGCGACATGGACATAGTGCAGCGAATTTAAATACAGCGGCTCCTCTGTCTGGCGCCATGTCCTTCTAATGGACACCGACGCTTTAGCTCTGAAAGTATTCAACTTGGAACCCGCTGGTGGTAGCAGAGCGAGACCAGGATGGAAAGACCAGGTGGAGAAGTACGCTTAGGCGGCTACAGCGCCAAATAATAAGAAGAAGAAGATTTCGCGGTAGAGATGTCGAGGTTCCTTGTAGTGAGGTAGTCGGTAATTTTCTCAACATCAAGTGCTTCAGGCTGACCTCTCTGCTGCAACTCTAAAAAATTTCGAAAGTTTTGGTGGGTTAGGTCATATCAGTTTCTTATGTTTGCAAATCCACAATCCTCACGTATAACCGACTAGAATTCACCTTTCGTCCTAGTGGTTACTATTTACGAGGAATCACAAATACCAAGTTCTATAATTTGCAAGTGCGTTCTCAACTGGGCACGACCACCTGACTTAACCTATTCTAATCTACCCTCGATTTCAGTTTACCACATCTTATACGCGCACTGAATTCCTAATTTAAAAAAAAGTTTGAACTTCCGAAGCGATTGTTGATGAATTTAAACTTTATCGATCCTTTCAAAATATATTTTTTATAATTGAACCAACGTTTATCATCGCCAAACATTCGTGGATCAATTGTGAAACTCTCTACATATTGGGAAAATTTTTCAAAAGAAAACTTTGCTGCCAAGAATTTTCGTAGATTTTTCATTTTCAGTTAATTCAAATAAAATATATTTTATTTGCTTTTGCTGTCCAAATTAAACAACATTTTTATCTGTTAGAGCAATTTTTAATCAATTATTTACCAGAGAAATATTTTCAAATGGATAAACCACTGAATAAGGTAATTCGTGTAAAATCCAATTCGAAAAAAAGTATGCAATTTATTCCAAAATTTGTAGAATAATGAGTCGAGCATTTCAACAACTGGTACAACTGGCTCACCACAGTTTTCCGACACGCTGGAGAACAACGTGAAGTACATGAAGTGAGTGTAGCTAGCAGTTACTCGTAATTAGTGGTATATTTTTGAACGGCTTACAATTCTCGTATTATTGCTCCTCATTACAGTTTAAATTTCGTAGACAACTCGGAGTCCTCGAGTCAGGCAAAAGACGCAGGCATTGAATACCAAAAATTGCCACGTAAGTCTGCTGAGCAATCTAAAAATCCAATTTTTACTTTAAGCAGCTAAAATGTGTGTTTTCAGAAATATTTGATGGTGGGGCACCAAAGACTACCAAACCACCGCCCAGCAAGATACTACCATCCAATATTCCTTTACCGGGTAAACATGACAGCAAAAAGCCTAAACCTGTTTGCACGCTCAAGGAGAAGTCCCTCCTCGAAATGGGTTTTAAAACAAATGAGATACAGGGCTGGGAAGAGATTGTCCAGCCGCCCAAGGAAAATCTCTATAAATTGCTACGCAATATGATTGATAATCACAGAAAACCGAATGTGCAGATACGCATCGGCGGCGTTACCTTCAATTGCCACATGATGGTGCTGCAGTGTTATTCGGATTTCTTCATGGAATGCAACAACGAGGTACTGATACAATTGCCAGAGGAAAAGATAACACCCGGCGCTTTCATGATGGTCTACGACTGGATGCTAGCCGAGGAGCCTTTGGTGCAGCGTGAGGGTATATTGGAGCTCTTCAATGCAGCCAATTTTCTACGCATCAAAGACCTAGTGAACCAGTGTTGGCTCTGCTTGGACGATGATGTACGCTTCCGTGAAGACACTGCATTCCTACTCTATTTAGAGGCCCGCAACTATGGACTTGAGAGCTTAGAGCAATTGATGCTAACAAGAATTTGCAAATTTTTCCTCACACTTGTCGCTTCGAAGGAATTTATGGAGTTGACTACCAAGGAGATTTGTATGCTATTGAGCTCCAATACGATCGGCGTGAACTCGGAGATTGAGGTAAGCACGGACGGGAAACGTAGTTGGGATGAGTTTGCTAGTATTTTTGAAATGTACTGAGAGAGTTTGAACAATTTCCTATTTAAAATAATAGTTATATTCGCTAGAGTCTTGCAAAACACTTGCTAGATTTAGGGATTTTACTGTTTGCAAAGCTTTCCCATAGAAAAACCGGTTCTACCTACCCTACCATGCATTCCTTGCACCGTCTATGGGTTTTGCAAGACTTAGAGAATACCCCAAATGTCGAATAAGTGATATGTTTATGAAATTTTTCATATTTTGGACTTTTAAGGCTGTAGCTTAACTATTTCTATATATTATAGACACAAGAGCGTATGAGTATTTCGTTTTCCTCTCAGACCCAACGTGATATCTAGATCTTAGGAAAAATGTCTGTGAAAATGCACTCTCCTTTCTCGGAACTTCAACCCTTTGTCAATTCGAATCGAGGCTAAAATCGTCTCTCTTCGAAATTCCATCAGGTATTACACCAATTGTAGTCAGAAACTTGTAGCAGTTGTTGTCGTCAGCTACATACAATCGGCAAATGGATTAAAGTGTTAGATAAGTGGACTTAACTTGGCATATGTTCAGGATATATGTACATTCGGTACGTGGGAGTTGATACTGGCTAGGAATTAGTTCAATCTACTGTAGTTTGCAGAACGAAGCTGTGCCACTTGTACTTTGATTTCCTCAGATAAATCAAGTTCGTATTTTGCAATTGGCGGTATCTGATCTCCTATGATCGCATTCATATGGCAAGAGCTAATGTAGGTGTCGACAGATTCCCTATGGTCTTTCGTGACTGTCTAACGTGTTGTGAAGGTGGCTATGGTCAAGCAGAAATCGTCAGGTCGTCACTTTCGAAAGACTGATTGAAAGATCTGATAACGAAGAGATCTTAGCGTTGTACCGTTCGTCTTTTAGCAATAACAAAAAAAACAATAAGTAATTTTTAGCAAAAAAACCGACTTAAAAAAATATATATATATCTACATATTTCATGATTCAATGATCGCATCTAAACCAAATTAGTATGGGACCACCTCTCAGACACTACCTTTCCGTTGCAAAAAGAATTATCGAAATCGGTTGACGTGGTCCAAAGTTATGCGGTAACAACATAAAAAAACAAACAAAAAAAAATTTTCCGACGAACTGATAACCTCCTCCTTTTTTGGAAGTCGGTTAAAAAGTAATAAAAAAATAAACCAATTGAATAAGATTCTAAAAATTAAACGATAGATATAAAAAATATTTATATTTTTTAAACCAAATATAAAAATTAAAGGAAAAAGAGATTAACAAAAAAACAAAAAATATTCCGACGAACTGATAACCTCCTCCTTTTTTGGAAGTCGGTTAATGAGATTAAAAATGCGAAAACAAATAAAATGTGTTTTTCAAAATTACATACAATTAAAAAAATATTTTTTAAACAATAGATAAAATCAAAAACTAAGAGAAAATTAAACTAAAAATAAAATTTTTTTAAAAAAGGAGAATATAAATTAAGTTCCTAAATAATTAAACGAACATAAATACAAATTTCCTTTTTTTAAGCAATAATATCTAAATATCAAGAGAAATTTTAATTAAGAAACAAAAAAATTAAATTATAAAAGAAAAAATACCTAAATTAAGTTTCTAAAAATTAAAGTTCCTAAAAACTAAACAAAATTTTTCTTTTTAAAACAATAAAATCTGAAAATTAAATGGAATTTAAAAAAAGGAAATAAAAAAAGAAAATTTCGCTGCCCGAGGACTCGAACTCGGATTTCTCGAATGGCACGCCTGTGCTTTACTCATTTGGCCATTGCCACTGTTGAAGCGACGTAAGGTAGAGTCCGACCGATTCCAATTTTTTTTCAGGTACCGATGCCGATGCCGATTAATCGGCTTATGGGGAAAGAATCGGCGGATGCCGATGCCGATGCCGATTCCATAAAAAAATACAAATAAATGTATTAATTCATAAAAACAGTACATTTCACGGAGTTAAAAAAACAAAAGAAAAGAAATAATTGAATTAATTGGCTTGTTATGCAACATTACATACACATGTATGTACATACATACATATGTATGTGTAAAAATATATGTACATATATCACATTTATGTACATTACATATAACACTTTTTAATATGGTGCTAAGCAAAAAATATTTAGGAACATAAAATTTCATTTCGTTTTGTACTAAAATACACTCTTTTGCACTCAATGCATAAGAACTTATATGCTAGGTACGTATGTACATATATATAGTGGTCCACATAATAAAAGAATTGCGATATTTTGACCGATTTGGTCTTTTTTATTTAACGGTTTTTATTTTTTTTTTATAAAAGTCTAGCTGGTATACAACAAACACCATATAAATCCAGATTTCATACTTTGTACAAAAATTAGAAAAATTCTGCTTATTTTCACCATAACTTCAAACTTTTTAATCAGAATTTTGGTATGCAGTTTTGTAGACCATTTCATTCTAGTATAATGAAGTGCAAATTTCAAGCTGCTATAAAATAAATTTTTGGCAATTTTTTTTTGCTGGCAGTGTTCTCCATAAAAATAATTTTTGTGAGCTGTCTGCAAATGTTTTTTAGTTTTTTTTTCATGCGAGTGATGAATGAGAGAGTTTTTAGCGCAGTATAAACTTACATACCTAAATCATGAAGGACTGCGCGACTTCATGAAACGGGGACGAGGGGGAGGGTTGTGTACGTCTGTGCTTAAAAAGATCACACACTTCACAGCCCGTTTTATTTTTATTGTCACCCAGACGAACAGACTAAAATCCGGACAGTCCGCTCAAAAACCGGACACCTGGCAACGCTGGGTACACCACAGAGAAGGGTGTTATCACCACTTCTATATATGATTGGACTACAGAAGTGGGACTGAGAATTAACACAGAGAAGACAGATTTAGTAATATTCGCAGCAAAATACAAGACAGCGTGAAATAAACCTAAATTAGGGAAGACCACTCTTCAACCGAAATCAAACTCAAAGTACCTTGGAATCGTTCTCGATGGAAATTCAATTTGGGGGAGCGGGCGAGGAAGGCCTCGTCAGCACGCACTGTATACATGTATGGAGATGTTGCATTTCAATTGGGGCTTTCATCCGCTCTTTTATATTAGATGTTCATAGCTAAAGCTAAGCTTATTCTAATCTATGGGGTACTGATATGGTGGACAGCATCAAAAAAAAGGCATACCTGAAAAGACTGGAAATGGTATACCGCCTGCCAATGATGAGTATAACAGGTGCCTTGAGGACGACACCGACAGCGGCGCTTCACTCAAATTTACACTTGCCACTGGCGGGCTCGGTAGTCAAAAAATAGGCTTTATGCCTCGGGGTAGCTTGGATTCAGACTTACGGTCTCAGTAGTATAGCGACCTCCTTTACATTTTTTCTTTCAGATAAACCGTTATGACTAAGTGAAAAGCATAACTTATCGTCATGTGGCGCGCAAACCTGGTATCCGCCAAATGCAACATCACATAAAAGATAGTCCGAAAATTTCGTAAAAGAGCGAAGAAACTTATTTTATTCAAAACGTTTGAATGGTTTGCTAACTAAACTTACTAAATATGAGCTTTTAGTATAATTATTTACTATTAAATTTGTAAAGTAGAAGCATTGAGACAGATACATTTTTTCTATGCCACCTCACGCGAGGTATTGCATTTGGCAGATTCGAGGTATTGCGCGCCAAGTGGTGATATATGCATTTTTTACTAAGCAATTTTTTTCATTTAAAACATGTTGTGTTTTTATGAATATGTAGCTAGATATTAATGTGAGGTGTGCACTGCGACCTGGTGATCTATTGTGCCGTCTTCTCTTCACAACACTTCATCTAAGCCCAGTTCCCTCAAGTTCAAGCTGTGGCCACAACGAGCCTAGACTACTCTCACGTCTTCTGCAGACTGCATCACACTCGGTGAGAATGTGAAGCGGCGTCTCGCTGGTCAAGTCAGAGAACCTGCAAAGATTATTTGACCATATTAGCTTATGTAGGTGACCCCTTAGTCTGCAGTGTCCTGTAAGAAAGCCTGTTACAATTCTAAGCCTCTCTTTTGGGAAGCTTATTAACCCTTGGAATATCTTCTTGTTAAACCCTCCCTGTAAACTCTTTGCCTGGCGCATTCCTTCTGAACTGCGCCAGTTTAGATCCCTTTTTGTGAACCACTCTCTCATAAGCTCCTCCTTTATAGTATTGAGACCTACTCCCAGGAAGGGCTCTGGGCCAACTGGAATGATGGTTGCCGCCTCTCCTAGCGAGACAGTCAGCCACCTCATTACCCTCTACTCCTCCATGGCCGAGTACCCACGCTAACCTGATTTTGTGTCTGCCAAGGGAGTTTAGCTTCTCAATGCACTCAAGGACCAACGAGGATTTGACTTCGTAAGATTGAAGAGCCTAGAGTGCCGCCTGACTATCGCTCAATATTATTATTCTCTCATTTCTGTACACTCTCTCATGATTGTCTCCGCACATAGGTAGATAGCATAGACTTCTGCTTGAAAGATGCTCGGATATTTCCCCATAGGAACAGAGATTCTTGTTCTGTGCCCAAGGACTCCAGTCCATACTCCTTCTGGGGTCTTCGATCCATCTCTGTACCAGTGCATTGTGCAATTATGAAGTAATCCCTCGAAGGAGGGGTCGCTTCAGGATGCCTTGCTGCATACCTCTATCTTGAATCTTTTCTCAAATACTATGGTTTTTCCTATGCCATCTCTAGGTAACAGAGCAAGCGGGAGTGAGGACCCAGCTTCTCCATATTCCTAGCGGATATGTATGACCTTTCCTTTACCTATGAATATGTGAATATTATTATAATTCTGAATCTTCGCCCATACCCAATTTCATTATGATTGCAATGGTGTTTTATCGTTTAAGTTGACTACTATATAAAAATCGACTTTTAATCACTCACCAATAGATGACGATTTCCAATCAATATTTCCTTTTTTTCAGATTTTTATGTCGGTTGTGCGCTGGCTTAACTACAATTGGGAGGAACGTGAGCCCGATATGTTGCAAGTGGTCAAGTGTGTACGCTTCAGCTTGATGCCGCCGTGGTTTCTTGTGACGTTGAATAAGAATATCGATTGCGTCGAAATCGATCGCATTGCTAGCCATCCGGAAGTGAAACGCATGATCAACGATGGCATATCGTAAGTAGATACTTTTTTTTGGATTTACGAATAAATGTGTACATTGGAGCATACCGGAAAAAACAGCTGAGTGTTAAGTATTTTTGCAAGGGGATTTGGAATAATATTTTTTTTTGCATTTTTCGTAACTTCTTCGGTGTTTACATTCGGGTCTTAAAGTGCGATATATCGATGTTCTTGTCGGTTTTTTTTTTTGTCCCAAAGTACATTGACCTCGAGTGCCCCGTTCAAGTACTTACCCACCAGATCTCAGTTCTTATCTCCCTCCTTCCTACTTATCACCCTAATGCCAGTAAATTAAACGAAAAATCATTAAAGGAAGACTTTTAATTATACCAGTAGGTCTTTAAAAAAAAAATATTGCAAAATTTCGGTGTCACCGAAAAATTTAAAAATTCAACCGCTGGTTCGTCCAATTGAAGTTGCCTTGCAAAAATATTTAGACTCAGGGAAACCAGGCGAAATTCTTTTTGGTTGTTCGTAAGGTGGTACGTTCTAGTGTACATATCTATGGTGTCCTAGGCCAGAGGTGGACCCTTCTAAAATAGAGGCAAATTTTTTTTACTGGAAAACATAAGAATGTGAACTACCAAGTCGGAGATACTCTCATCGCTATCATGAATTCCGTCGTGATCACGAAATTCTCCCGCTAATTCGAAATTGGTGAGAATGGTATCACTGATTTCGATTTACATATTTTATTTTGATTTATTTTAGTTTGATTTAGAATTATTAAACCAAAACATAAAAACTAACAAAAACCAAAGGCAGCACTAACAACAAATGCGTCGGAATTACATTATTTTTGTCGGAAACTTTTTTCTGCAATCGAACCGATAGTTCATATTTTTGAATATTCCAATAAACAACAATTTTCTCCATTTTAAAAGGGGTGAGCGGGTGGCTTATCCTGTATATATAGCATAAACAAAAAAAAAATCATGATTGATTTTATTTCATTTTCTTTCAGTTACACAACGACTCAGCTATATTATGGCGAAAATCGCGAAGAATTTCTGCATTTCTTGGAACGTTATCAGCTGGTTGCACCGGTTCAACGTCAATGGGTTTTCGACAAGGAATGCAGCTATCATCATCGCCTCGAATGCCCCAATATGCAGTATGTGACGTACAAATCATTTCTAGAATATCTCGAAATGATACACACCATCGGCAAAGACTACTGGCGTTCACTCGAAATGGCGAAAGGGGTGGAGAAGTCGATGCAGTGTTGCGTACGCTCCGAGTGTCGAAAATTGAACAAAGTGAACGAACAAAATTTAGTACGTTAACGTTTTTTTTTTGCTTATTGCTCCTCATTTACAACACAAAATCGCCAATTCACCTTTTTTGGATGACTTTACTTAACAAAAATGTATGTGTGTCGGCACATATTTATATAGTTCTAGTCACACAAATTGTCAGATTTAATCAATGAAAATTTTTGTTGTAATTTGTAATTTGGCTTCACTCGAAAATTATTGTGACTCTTTTTATAAAAACATAAATTATATAAAAAAAAAAATTAAATAAAGATCACTGAAAATTCTCAAAGCGACGGAGATTTGATTTCTTTTCCTTTTCTCTTGTCTGTTTTACAGGGATCCGTATTTACGATGCAATGTCGCGATCAGGGTATTCAAGTAGAGACCAGTTTGAGGCAGCGTAAGCCGCTTGCCAGAGGTAAATAGTAATTCAATGAAATTTTACTTTTTGGGCGAAAAAATTAAAAGCTTACAAGCAAACAAAGTTCGCCATGCACCCCTGAGCCTTGTAAGTATTTTGGCAAGGCAATTGTTTTGACGAAGATATCGCACGTTTCATAATATATAGTAGGGGAGCTCACGATGCTAAATCGGGATTTACTCGAGCGTCATTTTTACCTATTGGATTTTGAAGATGATATGATGGGAAGAAAAAAAAAAAGGTCATGTGATGTTTTTCCATCCAGCGGTGGGTAGAGCATCTACAGGCTTCCAAAAAAGTAAAAAAAACCAGTTACATAGATTTACTCGAGCGCGTCAGGTATTGATACTATCAATATCATTTCATTCTGAGTTTCATTTTCCCCGAACCGATTCCCTTTTCAGTTTTCATTTCCATACATATATTTACTACGGGCGGAATAAATATTTTCGGGTAAAATTGTTTTCGGACGAGACTCAGGACAAGGCAGAATTTTTCCTATGTTATTCTTATGGGTAATAGAAAAGTGTTTTTTTTTTGTACTTTTTATTTGTATAGTTAACGAACGAAACGTTGTACTGTAAATGAACTGTAATGAGAATTGAACGCTCTATGAAAGAGGTCTGAACTCATTTTTCGATACGTCAACTCGGTGATGTTGTTTGCGATTGAAAATGAGAATGTGTGCGTGAGTTTGAGTTTTGAGTTTTTACATTATATTGCTGGCAAACGTCAGACTAGCTCTTACAGGTTTTTACACGAACTTGAAGGATGTTACAGGAAAATCGATCCCGTACTCCAAATCTCTCAAAAATCCTGTAAATGAGAGCGATTTTTGGAGAGTTGTGTAGAGAATGAATGCAATATTTTACCCAAACTTTTTCTGCTGGTAAAATCATGAAAAGTGTCAAGCGATCACTGGTTGACGTTTTTAAAGGAAAAATGCTTTCCTTTGTTCCCTTACTTTTTGTTGTTAGTCACTTTTTACTCTCACTTAAAAGAGTAATTTTACTGTTGGACATTTTTACAGGATTTTACACGAGATGTATTAGATCGGAGCTATTGCCTCTCAATGGTTTTACCTTGTTATGTTTTTATCATGGTATGGTACAACGTATCGCTTGTTAAATATAAAAATCAATTTTTTCTGTGCTATTCTTATAGCAAATCGAAAAGTGCGGTGCGGACATTCTTAATATCAATATTCTGATACTTATTTTGGCGTCTAAACGAAACTTTTGAGCATAGTTCCTAGGAAAAAAAATATGCCGTGAATTAAGAAATGCCTTTTTTCGGCAAAACAACCACTACAAACTTCATCCAGCGTTTCTTAAACCTCCTCAGTTTCAGCGCGCAAGCATGCGCAGCCAGTGCTGCTTTATGTACGCAGGCATGAAAAACTCGTAAATTATGCGGTTTTGTTTTTTTCATTAAACAATTTTTACAGTGTACTCCATAAGGTTTGACAACTACTTAGATTACAAAAAAAAAACAAAAAAAAATCAAACGGTGTACAATAAAAAAAATCGAAACAAACTCAATTTTTTTATGCAAAAAATTATTTACCTATCTCACACTCTTATGAAAAGCGGATATAATTACGCATATTTTGATTACTTAGTTGATTTTCGCCGACAAATAAGTAGTTTATTAACTACAACAATTTTTTAAAAAGATGCCTCTGTGAGCTCAAACCCTAGGATTTGTTTCTCGAGATTTTCGAATATTATGATGAAATAAATAAATAGGTGTCATCTTTGTTTCGATTCGAAGATTGTAAAAAAAATATTGTGGTGTAATTTTTGCATGGAATGGCCCATATGTATTTCGGCTCAGATCAAGGCATATGAAACAGGTAGTGGCATTAGAACAAAAATAACATTTACGTGTATTTTGCTGTTATTCTGGTCTCTAAAGCGTCGAAAAATATTCTGCTTTTGTTGAAAAAAATTAAAATTATTTGACAGAGGTTAGTATTTTTAACCGACTTCAAAATAAGGTGTAAGGTTATAAATTCATCAGTATATTTTTTTTATGTATGTTATTGTATAACTTTAGATAACTTTAGACCACCTGAATCGCTTCCGATTAATTTTTTTTTATCGGAAAGGTGGTCCCTCCAGGTTGGTCCCATACTAATTTGGTTTAGTTCCGATCATTGTGACATGAAGAAAATAACGGTACTTAAAAATTACTTGTCTAATTTTGTGAGGGGATTAAATACGAGTATGCGCAGCCAGCAGTAAGAAGTTACTCATACGCCACGAACACCGTAAATTTACTCCATCAAAATGTTAATTTTTTATTATTACAACTACCTTATTCTTAATTTAACCCAGATCAACCGTATCACGGTGAACAAAAGATGGCCATGGTAAACACTTCGAGTCTTAAAAATCTAAGCAGAATGTCTACCACTCATTTGCTGCCCTCTACAGCGTCCAGTTGTCACCAGCTCGCCTACAGAGCACAGCATGAACAGCAACATCATCACCACAGGCACAATCGACATCAACAACCACAATGCTATGAACCTTTCCAAGAACAAAACCAACAGCAATCAAACTGCAACTACCACTACAACAACAAAAACAAAAGCTTAGAAAACATTGCAATTCCGAGCGAGCTACATGAATTGAAATGCGACGTACATCATCGAATATTGAATGATGAATACGAACAAAACAGTGAAGTGCATCACTGTGTCGAAGGTGGTCACACACATCCTCGTATTAGTGGTATGCATGTAGATGTGGCCGCTGGTGGGAGTAGTGATGGGCCTAAGACAATGCTGCAATCAAAACTCTGCCATACAAAAGCCTCTCAAACGCCATGTAACAATATTGGCGAATCAAAGACGACGATACCTCCTACGCGCAAAGAAACTAGCAATGGAATGTCAATGGGAGAGGATGTGAAACCACATGTGACACCAATAGTGCAAGTACCCAAGACTGTGTTGTCAACTGTAGAAGAAATTGAGTTCAAAACGTGAGTTTGAATAAAATTATGTGTATTTGTGCATTAGACCGAACCGGAAAAAAATGTTCGTCGTACACCTTTGAATCTAAAGAATTTTTCCGAGGGTAATTTAGAAATCAGATCTGTTAAACAATGATTAATAATGCATGTTTATTTTTGGGTAACCCTGAAATGATTAAATGCCATTATTTGCAACTTTTTAATGATTAATATTTAATTACTAAAAAAAATAATTATTTAATTTTAATAAAATCATTACTTTGTTATTTTTCAATTATTTTCAATCATTTTTGATCCTTTTTTAATTGCATGATTAATATAACTACTTGATTATTTTCAATAATTTTGGGTTTTGTTTTAAATTTTTTTACACATACCTACATATGTCTGTATAAGAGATCTGTTCCAACGCTTCCTCCACAAAATTCTTTCTGATACTATTATTATTATTAATGAATAGCAAAGACAGTTGACAATATCTTTAGAAATCATTCCTTATTTGTAAATTACAGTACAAGTATAGCAAATTTGGTTTCAGTTATTTAATACTAACTTATAAAAATATGCCTGCCAAACACAGCTTCATCTGTTCATTCAACTGAAAAGAATCATATAATTAGAAATAATCAAATATGATCAAATATTTAAAAACAATCAAATAATGAAAAATAATCAAACAATTAAAACTAATAAAGTAATTAAAAAAATAATTTGATTATGTGATTATTTATAATTATTTGTTATTTTCAATTATTTTTTTTAATGTCTATCTTGATTATTTTTAATTTTAATTAATTATTAATTACCGGGCTATGTAAGAAAATTAAAATAATCATTAAAATTAAAAAATGCAAAAAAATGAATGATTGCTAATCGTAATGGAAATTGAATAGCTCTGTTTGAATTTTTTTTTTCGCCTTCTTACATGTTTCCTTATATCTTCCGCTTTTACAGTCGGATCATAAAGTATGTTAAATCGATGTTTTCTCTAGAGCAGACAATTTTTTTGTTCCAAAGTTTATTGTCCTCAAATACTCACCAAATCTCAGTTCTTGTCACCTTAAAATACCACCCTAATGCCAGTAAATTAAAGCTCGCCAAAAAGCTCTAATCTTTTGCTAAGGACGTGTTTCGATTAACGTAAAACTATTTGAACTTTTTTTGCCAATATATGTAGTTATCACCTTAAAATGAAAAAAAGTCCACTCTAGGTTTGGCCAAAAAAAAATTTTTTTTCCGTAATTGCCTTGTACCTTATATTCATGCGTGTGCGGCGAAATTTTTTGTTTGCTTATAAAGTGCTATGGTCTAATGTACATACATACATAAGTATGTATGAATGTGAGTTTAAAAAATTTCATTTTTGCTACCATGCAAAGCATAAAAGGTCGCAAAATACTAATATTCGGTGGCATCGATCCGTACTGCCAGCATTGCCAGCATGATAAAATGATGGCAATGCAACAACAACGCAAGAGATCACAAATTTTTGGTGGCAGTGATGCCGATAATATGGAGCCAATGCCTTACCATAACGGCGTAGGCGGCTGCAGTACTTGTGGCGGTGTAAATACACAGATCAATCAGCTGGATAATTTGGGAGACCGTGTGCTCTACTACGATGCCAGCACTAAGCAGTGGAAGCATTTGTGTTACTTACCATTCGGTTCACGTCATCATCACGCTGCTGTGGTCTGTAACGGACTCATCTACATAATAGGTGGCACGAAGACGGCGCTAGGTTGTACAAAGAAGTCGGTGAGTGGTGTAGAAATTGAATTTGTTTGTTGTTTCCTTTTGTTTGTTGTTGGGTCCTCCCGCTCGTACTTCTCATACTACTAAACAGGTCGAATGATTTTGAGGATGGATTGATATAAGCCAAAATTGATCCCAGTAGGTGGCGCTAAACTTAAGTCAATTTCAAAATAACTATTTGTGGTCCTGTTGGATTCAATGCAGACATATGTATGTAGTTTTCCTTAAAATATCGCCAACTAAATTTTGTATGAGGCTCCTCTTTATTTTGTTGTTGTTGTACATCCACGGAAATCTCAAAATATCGGGTCTCAAAAAATTTAAATAAAAAAACATCAGAAATTCGTCAACATTTTTACCGAAGTCTGGCAAATTTCACATGCTTTTAAAACTTAGTCAAATAATTTTATTAACTCGTTAAGTTACAGCTGCTCCAAGTCAGAATTGTTTTGAGTAAAAAAAAACTTCAAACCCTGCTAACCAACCCTAAAAAATTTAAAATTTAGAATTTTTCGTGGATGTCTTTATTTACCGGCCCTCCCTCGGAAAACCTGCCCTCTGAATGTATTGCCGCTAAGAAAATGCTTCTCATAACAAACCATCTGCCATTCGAAGGCGGAGAAAAAATGGTGGTCCCTTCACCACAAATTGGATGATAAACTTGACTAAACACTAATGCAAAAACGATGGATCTGAAGTAAGCGTCTTAATCCTAATTATACGAAAATTAGCAATTATCTTCAGATATTACGGCATGAAGGACATGATGGTAATATCTTCTTCTTATTGTTTGGCGCTGTAAGAGTATATCTTCACCGCAAGCTTTTCAGCGGTTGTGGCTTTCGGCGCTCAAGACCTAATATGAAACTTATATGTAGCTGAGTAGACCGCTGAAAGCCTGAAACGCGCCAAAGCGATTTTGGTCGAGTTCAATATGGCACGCCAGTCATCATGGTAATATGGCTGACGATTTTAGGTATACTATAGTTATCCTTACCACCTTTAAGGGTAATGCGAAACAGTGAAATCTTTTTTTCCAAGTTTTTGTGAAAAGTACAGTAACTTCTTTGAGTACAATAGGCAGAATTCCATCCGAACTGGGCGCTTTGAAATTATATCCTTTTACCACAGTTCTAGCAAGAAACCATTTTTACCTACATATCCTTTACTTCCAGTAATCCCAAGCCACCTTGTCAAGGGAGTGGAATGTATAGCTATCAAAGGTTTCCGGTGAATTGAGTGTACGAAAGGACTGAAAGACTCTCAATCACTGCTAATATGAACGACACATTAGTACGCTTGAATGATCCCGGCTTAGTGGTTTGATCCGTTTATTTGTCCGGCTAGGAAGATGATGCATAAAATGCAGGGGTCGGACTTCTTTCCGATCATCGCGCTAATTGGAGAATGTGATCTGCCGCATGCTACCAATTAATCTGTTGATCAAAGGAAAGGCTTGGAACTCTGTTATAAAGAAAGGAGAGTTTAGAAATGCCACGGCGACCCATGCATCAGAGTTATACATACGAAAGGAATTCATATACATCTCATTCCTAAGATGTTTTTAAATTTTTTTCAAAGGCGATTTTTAAATCAATTAAAGGGATCTATTCAGCGTTTCGATATTTCCTGATAAACTGTGAGATTTTTTCTTCGAACATTGTAAAGAGAGACAAGAATTCAACGCCTGGTTGATGTTGTATTTATGTATATTGTTGGCTCTAGCGCACAGTGAATATAATATAAAATATCGCAAAAAGAAAGAATTGTACTCCGATTTTACTATAGTTTGTTACTTTTGCGTAGGAATGAAGAAATATGAAAAATCGCATGGATTTGCAAACGTGCACGCCCACTTCACTAGAGGGCGGAAATGGTAAATCTGATTCTATTTTTATTAAATTCGGTTTGTATCTTAATTTTAACCAGAAAAACTTAAATCCCAAGATGATCCGAACCGGTCCACAGACACGCCCTCAGTCCTAAAAATCCATTTATGAAACCAAAATTTTATTAAATTTGGATAACAACTACCTTCAAATAGTGGGCGGGGAAATTTGCCAATCTATGCCATTTTTGTACTTCTTTATTTCTAGGCAAATTTCCTGAAAAACTTCAGTAAAATCTGATCTCAAATACTAATTTTTTACGACAGTTACAACTTTTATTTAAAAAATCGCTCTTTAACAATTATTTTTTAACTTTTATTTAATTCCTCCTTAAATAACCGTTATTTATGACTTCTACACGAATGATTTAAAAAATAAAAGGCGGTGACTGATTTATATTGATGACTTTTAAGACTAAAAGTCAATAACGGATATTTATTGATGACTTTTATAAATAAAAGTCTTCGATAACTGTTATCTATGACATATAATATAAAAATCAAAAATAACTGTTATTTGTTTTAATTTTGAATAAAAATTGCAAATAAAAATTTATTTTAAAATTTAAGTCCCGGTGAAAAAAGAAATCGATTGGTATGTATCACTTAGTTGTAGAACATTTCCTTCATAGTGGATTTTTCCATGACAGTTTTCATCAATAACTGTTATGTTCGGTCCCTGCTTTGGAGTGAAGTGAATAAGTAATGGACTTTAGCTCATCTGTCAAGCGCTATCACTTTCAGCTTTGGCTAATAAACTTAAGCAAGTAAAGGCCTAAAAGAGTCCATGCTTTACTTCTGTACCCAAAGCTCGTAGCTATAATTGCAATGAAGGATAGGAATATTTCTATTTGTATCTTAGTTTCACACGAAGCCTGATAGTCACACACTTTACAGTATTTTAGTAGTTTATAGTTCATAGTTTTAATCCAATTAAACAACTTTAGACCATCGGTGTGGCAGCAAAGAAACAATTGCAGAAAAGAGATTATCTCCAAATACATTCACTTCTCACAGATCACGCCTCTCACTCGCACTCCACCTCTTACCCCCTCTATTTCTGTAGTTATGTTAATCAGTGCTGACTATGAACATTTTATACATGCTTATGTATATATGTCTTTTTTAGATATTTGAAAAATCTGTTTGGAGCTTCGATCCGCAGACTATTAAATGGACATTTGAATGTCATTTGCCAGAATTGCGACGTGACTTCGCCGCGATTGTAAGCGACGAGCTCTGTGGCAGTGAAGTTGCTTGTAAACGTTGCAGAGGCATAAAGGAGCAGCCGAAGCAACGAAATAGCATCTCTGCTAATGGCTTCTTCATCATTGGAGGTGAAGGCATTAATGGGACGGCATTGAGCACAGTTTGGTACTACAATGTATTACACAAAACATGGAAAAAGGTAAGAAAATATGTATGTAAGTATGTAAGTACTATATACAGATGTATGTACCTATTCACAAAAGATTAGAAGAAACAATGCCAGACACAGTGATTTAATAAACTCTGCTTTTGTGGTCCATTGGTATACATAATTTCTTACTTCCACCTACTCAGTACAAAGCTCAATCGCTCCGACAACCAATTGAAACCTCACCAGAAAACAATGCAGTAACTACATACATATGTACGTACTACATATATATGTATACGAACAAATCGGAACTAACTCTATGTAAAAATATTTCCCTGCCCTTCTGCCCCGCATATACATACACTTTTAATTGTTTCACTACATTGCCTGCTATTTATGGGGTTTTAGAAAGCTCCGTTGAATGTAGGACGTTACGGTATGATGGCTGCCATGGTAAATAACGAGATTTGGATAGCTGGCGGCATAATCGAAACGAAAACGAGAGCATCCGACAGCAGAGATGGTTTTATCGCTAGTACAACAACACCAGCGGATATGAAGGCTCTGGGTGGTGGCGATGGCGATGGAATTGGTGGTGGCGTTAATGGCGCGGCAAAGGGCGTCAATGGCAATGCTGACAGTTTTGCTGTCGAAGCAACAAAAAGTGCAGTCGTGGATGTAATCACCGATTCGATGGAGTATTATAGTTTGAAGTGTGCTTATGGCAGTAGCGGCAATGACGAACACGCTACGGATATACGCTTGCCTAAAGTCAATGATGTAGATGGTGATGCGACTATTGCTGCTGTGGGTGGTGATGATGGCGTAGGTGGTTGCACGCTGTCCACTACTATGAAGAGATGTGGTGCTGGCATTGATGGCACACGATGGATTAAAGCAAATCAGCATTTGCGTATACCACGGTAAGCGGCTTATCTTTCGATTTTATGGTAAAAAAATACTAAAGTGCACGCGATCAAGATGGCAAGTGGATTGAATAGACTGCAACGTTTGATTAACGTTGTTATGCATCTATGCATGCATAGGTTTGAGAACAGGATAAAATTCAAATTAGAATGTTAATTGATTTTTTATGCATGTATGTATTTGTTATTTATTTGCCACATAAGGTATTTAGCTGCAGTTTGCGATGTAAGAAATTTCTGGCAATTTTCCATAAAAAATTTTTGAAATTTTTGAGATAACGTTGAGAAGATATTTTTACTAGCGAGTAATTTCTACAAAAGTTCTGCGAATTCACATTGTGTAATTTTGTTTTTAAAATTTTTTCAAGATTTTTTTTTTTTGATGTGGAGAGGTTAACTTTTGGATAGGATAGCTTGGAAATGAAAATCGGTTGCTAAATGGTTCAGTTTTTCGAAAGTCAGGCGGCCCAAGTCAAGGCAGTGTAGGTCGAATGAAGTTCGGTTCGAAATCTATTACGTGTGTTTGGCTAATTTTAATTGCATTGGATGAAAAAAAAAAACAAAACGAGTAATCATTCCACCATGAATGCCATTACTCAACTCCTGCATAAAAAATGTATGGTATGTTAGAGGAAAAAGCAACAACGAAATAAAATTTGTGGGTATTTTGATGTACACTTTTGACCCCGCAAACCTTTCCAGCATGAGATAAAATTTTGTAAAATATTAAAAAAATAATTTTGTTTTTAAATAGAGTGTAAATAAAAATAAAAGTTTACAATATTTTTCAAAATTTAGAAAAATTCTGGGTGATTTTTGTAAATATTTGTATGCCGACATGCTGTTTATATGGGAAAAAATGCTTAACATCGTATCGAAAAAATTGTCAAAAATCAACGAGAATTTGCTATTTATTTTCCCAAAATTAAATGGGCCGACATTTTCAAAAAAAAAAAAATCTGAAAAGTTTTAAATTTTCATTTACATAGTTTTTATTACAGTGTGAACTATTTTTAAAAAAATAATTAATTTTTTTATTAATTTAAAAAATTTTACCAAATTTCTTTTAAGTTCCGGAGAATTTCGGGACAGGTTCACGACTTTTTCGACCATTTCGGAGCCTGCTAAGGTCCATTTCGGGACTAGTTCAGGAACATTTCGGAATCTATTTCAGAACCACCTAGATGGTATTTCAGGACCATATCAGCACACGTTCACGACTATTTCAGGACTAGTTCTAGACCATCTGTTTAATTTCTATCCTAACCTATTTATGAATGTAACTGAATCGCCTAACGCTTTGCCAAGCCGTCCAAAGATGTTTACAAATCAAATGTCATGAGTACCTGGTATTCACGTCTTTTTTTCATTTCAGATTATTTGGAAAATTCTGCAGACCTTCTGAGAATGAACTGTATCTCGTTGGCGGAATCGGATTTAATTCAGATAATGTTTTAACTTCCTTGTCGTCAGTGGATCATTATAACTTTGTTGAAGGCCAATGGCATCATTATGGTGATATTAAATGGGCCAGGTACTTTTCTTAATATTAACTTTGGATTTTCTAATTAAAAGCTAAATTGTTAGCATGCAATGTTATTTCAATGTATTTTATACTTTTTTTTTAAATTTATAATTATTTATACAACTATCTATCCCATTTTCCTAGACACGGTCACGATATCACCACCCTTAATAATCGAATTGTAATTATTGGAGGCGTTTCTACTATCAAAAAATGTACACTGACTAAGGTGGAATCATTTTGCATGAAAACACGCCGAAACTTTAAGGATCTGCCAGAATTACCATGGCCTTTGTCTGGAAGTGCTGTACTCGCTTTGGATTGATTTGTTTTTATGCTGCTGCTGAGACATTTTTCTTTCATAGTTTTTTTTTGTTATTTTACATAAATATTCACACAGAGTTGTGGTCAACTATTTGTATAAATACGAATACGTACAATGAGTCTGTTATATTTTAGCTAAGGGAGCGCTATTTTCCAATTTATTGGGGATTGGGGATTGATTTGAGTGCCAGCCGAATATTTATTTTAAACTTACCGAGCATTATCAATGTGTGAAATTCATGTCGAACTTAACTGTTGCTAAATTTTCATACTTTTTTTCAAACAAAGATTATCATTCCCATGCGCGCAGAGAAACAGAGCGCCCAGCTCATTTATCTTTCACGCATCGATACAATATTTCATGATGCCTCCTGTTGCCATCAGCAAGAAAAGTGCGTTGGTTGCCTACCCACTGTGAAGCTTGTATACCTAAATTACTCGTAGCGCCACTTTTTATACATAAATTATTATGTACATATTTAAGTACAAGCAAGTAGGTAGAGTGTAGGCAAAAAGAATCAAACACAAATAAGTACATTTATAAAACAGCGTCAATACCGCTGCTGTGCTCCACCAACAGTCGCCGTCTCCGTCTCCGTCTCCGTTTTCGTTTCCGCTAACGGCATGTTGACGATTGCAAGAACAGCATCATTTATTTGCAACACTTTTCAAGTGAAATTGCGAAAATTGACAGCTGCGATATTGAAGACGGCGGGGTAAGCAACGAAAGCATGAAGAAGAAAAAATAATGCGTTGAACTACATATCTACATATGTATGTAAGTACGTGCATACTAGGGTGATTGTCTCGGTTTTTCCAAACCAGTTTTAAACGGGATTTTCCCAAATTTTTGGCGGTGTTTTTGAAAACACGATTTTTGGAATATCTAATAAACCGGTGTTTTGTTATCGAATAAGCGCGGTTTTTCATCTAGAATATTTATACAAGTGCATCATAAAATTCGCTTTAGATTCATCATGTTTTTTACTTTGTTAAAGAAGAAGATTCTTTTTTGCTATACGTATGTTTTACAAGTTTGTGGTAAAAATGTGCTTTGAAATTAACTACAGAATATTCGTTTGGCTTCATTCGCGTTTAAGCACACTCGAAAATTTAAAGCAAATACCCAGAATAACTAGGTTTTTCTGAATTTAAAAATTAACAACCGTTTTTTTTCAAATAGGCTTTTTTCGTATAACTCGAAAACCGATTTTGGAAAAAATTCGAATAATCGTACACCCTAGTACATAGCAAACATTAACCCTGTAGATAGAAAATGAAAACTATATGCAAAAAAGTGCGTCCCAACTGCTCATGGCCATTCGACGTGACAGGCGATAAGAGGATAGTATAAAAAAGGAAAAAAGCGAATAATAACAAGAACTGAAACCATGCTGAGACAATAAAACTAGCCGAAAGGTTACAACACTCATTTGTGTTTCATCATCATTAGCGCCAGTGGCAATGACAACAAAAAGGAGAAGGAGAAAGTACGTAGAATACATAGAGAACAGCAGAAATGGAAGAGATGCTAATGATAAAAATATAACAATATAAACACGCAACAAATGACAATGATTTTTATTGTTGAGAATAGCGCCAAGCTGACTTAAGCGAAAAAGAAAAGACACATGAAATTGTTGGTGAAAGGTGACTTGTTTCTAACGGGTTTCACTACTTACAGCCTTATTATCTACAATCTTGAACGATAGGCTGCACGAACGATTTGTCTGCAAACGAATGCTTTCAAAATTACTCCGGCAACAACATTCTGGCATGTTTTAATGTAATCGGGACGAGTTCAATGGAATCGTCGTAAAGCAAGGCGAGGACGGGTCGGCAAAAATCCTCCGCCCCAAAGCTCTACGAGGGTACCGACTGGTAATGGACACTACCAGCTAGGATCAGAAATCAGTGCTATGTGCTTAAGGCTCCACAATAGCTTAGTTATATGGAAATGGTTTTTGATCGTGGCCTATGGAGTTAACAGAGGAGCAAACCTCTTGAAAAAAGCTCTGGTTGGAATAAGGTGTAAGACGACCCGTGCTGATGGTCTGCGTGGCTGCGGATCCAGATTAATAACTAGCCCAGTCTCAAACGGAGTCCTTTTGTACCTAGCGACTTCCGGTTCTATCTAGCCTTACCCCCGCAGACGGACCTAAATTTTCAAATAATAATAAAAAATCAACCAAGGAGGACGGCGCTCCAAAAACCAACAGGGGTGGCTCCGAATAATGCGGCAGAAGTTAGAAGGTGCTGGTCCTGGAACGAGTAACGTAGGAGGCAGGGGGGAGTAGTGGAGGCCTGGGAAACCGGTATCCAACCATTTCACGGCTGGAGATGCGGCGTCAACTCCGCGTAGGGTAATTAAGCCCTAAAGCACCCACACCTCAACCCAAGAGCGGGGAGCAGCACCTGCTTCAAGGCTAAGCCGGCAAGATGCTGCTGATATACCAAGCAGCTCAAGGAAGGTTTCAACCACATGGCGAGGGGACGGCTAAACATATTCGTTCCTCGAAGCAAGCCTACTATGATAAAAAGGCGGCCACTAGGGTCGTGGCTAGGATCGTGGACCTACCGTCAGGGCAGCTGACTGAGGAATAGGTTAGGTCGTTGGAGTGGGCGAGGCGAGTAGTAGCCAGCTGGGCAAACCGGCAGGCACTGCCCTAAAGAGGCAGCAATCTGCTGAACAGGCAGGGGATAGGGTTGCCAAAATACCGAAAACGGGCGGCCATAAATATCCTTCATTCACGGATGAAGTAAAGGGAGGCGGTGAGGTACTGGCCAAAATCGACAGAGGGGGGGAGGAAGGGACTGTCCCCAAAGAGGAATGGAGATACCTAGAGGAAGCGATGGCCGAAATCTACCTCCAAGTCCTAGAGGATAGCCCTGGACCTCCTCCTTTCTGCCAAGATTACGGGTGGTATCAGGGTAGAGCAAATCTTATCGTGTGCGAGGACCATAGGTCAGCCCAGCTCTATAGATTAGCCGTCAGCAATGTAGGTGAGGTTTGACCGGGAGTCAATCTCCCCTATGTGAAAACAGAGGCACTATTGGGATACCCATGGAAACCTGCAAATTACAAATTAGAAATAGCATGACCCAAGAGGCTGACAGGTCATGGCTAGAGGAGGGCCCTTGTAGAACAACCAGGCTACTTTGGCCACAAATTGATAAGAAAAAGATGAAAGACCTGCTCAGCCTCTAAGGAGAGGATATTGCGATAGTCACGGCTTGTGTAACCAGTCATTGGCTACCTGGCAGGTACTCTTCAAGACTAGGAATATTTTCCCCCGAATATTGCAGAAGTTGCAGAGATCAGGAAGAGGATAAAACCGTAGAGCACTGCTTCAGTAGTTGCCCAGCTTTGTCCAAGAGCAGAGCAGGCTTTTTAGGTAGGCCCTTCTTTAGAACTCCAACGGAATTATCATGCGTAGGAATAAAACCAATTCTACGCTTTATAAGAGCAACAAAATGATTCTCTGAGGAATCGTCACTGAGGTTCCCGTGTTCTACAGTGGTACCCCAACGCACCTACCTTCAACGTTTAAGTGAATTGGTTATCTGCAGCGACTGCCACACCAACCTAAGCTAATCTAAGGCAAGGACGAACGGAAGAGTTATAAAATTGCAAGGAAGAACGACGACGTCTGCCGACGAATCGTTCGTGCGACCTATCGTTCGAAATAGATAATAAGGTGGAATCAAATTGAATAAAAAATTACAACATTTACGTTTTCAGAAAAGTACAAGTAGGCGCACTTGAAATCACAACAGTGATGAGCTAAGTTTTGTGACTCTGTTAGAATAGAGGGGTTAGTCTCACTCTTGCAGAACCTGCTAAAATGTTTATCGAACCTTTCGGCATGCATACCCACTGTCCAGTGTCTTGAAGGTTATTTCCGGGCTCATTTCTAGAAGAGCTCTGATTTTAAGTGGGTCCTCCACAGTTAAACCTCTGCTTATAGTTAGTTTGAGGTAATTATGCTTTTGATTCCCTGAGCGAGGCATCAATGTCCACTCGCAACTCGCTAGTGTATCCGCTCTTTAATTCTGGTATTTGTTCTTACGTCTTGGGTCCCTTATTAGGGTACTTTGAGATTTTCAGAAATTGAGACTAACTCTCTTCTATAGTCCTCAACAAAATGCGACCTCGCTGAGGAAAAGGAGGGCACCTGGTGGCTAATTGAGACAATGTTAACCTGCTACCACTTAAATCAGCCAAAAGATAGCTTCAGATTGGGTTGGTTAATGCACATTTTTGCATATACCCCGAATTCCTTTTTCGGAATTTCGTGATGGGTTTGTGATTCATTCAGGTGTTTGGTTTGATATAATCGGCGGGCAGTGTTTTTACACCAGTAACCAAACGTCCGCAATATGACTCCTATCTATCGGTAATAAATCGAGCAGAACATTCAGAGCCTCCGTAAGGAAAAGGACTTGGATTCACTTGTTATTACCAATTGGCGTCAGTTGGCACATTAGACAAACGACTGACGAACTTTTTTAACTCGACCAAAATCGCTTAGGCGGCTACAATCCCAAAAAAAAAAGAAATTTTTGTAAGTCGAGAGAATGACTTGCTTTCATAGGGCCTACCGAGCCCAAAGTAGCAATCGTTGTCGCTTTATCAGTACGCTGCTATCTTTGGAGATAACAATGGCGGATTCTAAATATAACAGATTTCTTCTCTACTTCTCTTTGTGACATGCCAACATGGCATTGCCAAAAGGTACTTTTTCATGCCTTTGTACACCACCCAGACCAACTAATTTTGCCTCCTTATCTATGCTGGAGAATATTGCGCCAATGGAATTGGCTTACGCCAAAAGCGGCGTGATTTTGCTGTAAATGGTGCTGCTGTGTTTCAGATTGGGAACTCGTATTACACTTTTCGGCCTCAGATTTAAGAAGTCACATGAAAGTGAGTGGCATTGTTTACAAAAGTCGTTTGGTTTCATACGCCACGAGGGATTCTTCCAATTTGAATAGAGCTGAAGATTGCTGACTTACACAT